GACAGGTCCAAAGCGACAGTAGTGCTCAACTTTCGCACCTCCCCTCTCATGCAAAGACTACGTACACCTATGCATTAAACATGTAGACTTATCAAAACTTGAACTGGCTTGAGCACACCAATCGGAGAGATGAATCCAGCAAACTCAACGGTTGAAACCATGGGCCCCTAGTACGGGCCCTTAACCTTGGGATCCCTAAATACCTACTATATACCCTATATAGACTCTTAAGGGTCCCGAGAACTCCCTCAAAAAGGCCCCAGATTAGGGGCCCATACTTCTAACCGTAGAAAAACAAGCCTTGACAAGCCTTAATCTCCAAACCTTTAAACTTCCTAAAGTTCAAAGTCCAAAATCCCTACTAATAATCCCTTTTAACCCTTAAGCCCCAAACGCAGCCGCGAAACCGAAGCGGCAGCGCCCGAAGTACCAGCAGCATGCGATGATGTGTGTCGTGGTGCCGAAACCTCGCAGCAGCCGCGTGCGTGGTTTGGAGCTCGAGGTCGAAACTATAAGGGTTAATGTAGGAACCTGATTCAGAAACCTTGGGCCTTCTAGGGCTCCTTCTATGAATCCTACCATTTTGGGGTTATAGGCCCAGGCTTTCTCAATCAGGTTCCTACATTACTATGTCACAGAAAAATTAGGGGTACCTTGTTTTGGGGTCCTTATAATTAGGGTCGTACTGTTTCGGATACTTTTTTAGGGTCCTCTATTTTCGGAAACTCCCATGTGGGGTCTATAAGGGTGCTATAATATAAAGGCCTTGATAATTAAAAAAGGGTTGCGGGGCCCATTATACTATAACTATTGCAGGGAGCGGTAGCCAATGGTATGATTTTCCACCCAAAAGAGGAACAGGACAGCTCGGCTGTAAGATTTCAGGTGCGAGATTGCGAGTCTTACGTTTTGAGGCGTAGGGTACACTCTTCAGGGCTTCGGGTACAATATTTATGATAAGAAGGTTCAGGGCCCTAAGCCCAGCCTAAACCCCTTAACACCATGCGACTGAACCCCTAAGCCCTAAGCTGACCAAGGGGCAGCTTTTGCAGGGCGAGTAGGCCGTCGGAGACGTTTTCCACCTTTGAGGGCCAGGCTGAAGGAGGAAGCCCAGGTGTCGTAGTTTAGGGTTTGTAGTTTAGGGTTCAGGGTTTGTAGGGTTTAGGGTTTGGGGGCCCACCGTGAGGCCACCTGGTCACCGTCGGTTTGCCGGCAACTTGAACAAGAATGGGCCGCCATTCGTGGGGCCAGAGGATATGAACCTTCCTTCGAGGTGTGGCTGCTGCAGGTTGCTCATTTTGACAGCTTTTGGCAAACTTGGCCTCCACTAGAGTGGCTCTCTGATGTGTGTGCATATGTTCGCTTCGACGCGGACGCGCTTGTCAAAAGTGAGCAAAGGCGTGTTTCTCAGTTGTCGGCCTTTCAGGCCCAGCTTGACCTTCGTGAAGGGCATATGCGGGGTCACTTCGCCTGCCTCCGTGATCAGAGTCGTCCGCCCATCACGGCCATTCCAGTTGTCGAAGAACAAACAGCAACCAAAGTGCGCGATGTCAATTGCAACACGGCCTTGTACGACCTGAAATGGGCTCAGGCCTATCAGACCCTCGCCCCAGCAACAGTGGATGGAGTTCCAGTTGAGGTGTTGGGCCTGCAGCATCAGCCTGATGAGTCGAGGCTCCTGTGCCTCTCATTCCCGGGAGGCTCTGCTCCTGCATCGTGTCAACTTCTGCAGAAAACTGAAGCTTCTACAGGTCCGGAGTTGCATAGGGCTTTTGTTGAATTCTGGGCCCCAATTTGGTTGAGGGATAAAGGGCTGGACAGAACCAGTGAGCAGGCCTGGGGCGCCTTTCTTGGCAATTTGCCACCTGTGCCGACAGAGGCTGAGGAACTCTTGAATGTTGATTTGTTTGCCCAGGATGTCTGGCTCAAACAAGTCAAACTTCTAAAACAACGGAAGGCGACCGGGTACGACGGTATCAGCAATGAAGAGCTTCGATCGCTCCCAGACGCGGCTTTGTTGGATTTGCGTGACATATTCCTGAAGACTGGCCAGTGCGGCTGGCCAACGCATGCAGGATCTGCTACAGTTAGCTGCCTCGCTAAGAATGACTCGCCTCAGGGCATGCACCATGCAAGACCGATAACAATACTGGCCAACACCTATAGGCTGTGGGCCTCAACGGCGGCCCGAGGCATCCTTCGGCAATGGGGGACATGGTTTCCGCCAGAGATTTTTGGGTGCCTGCCAGGCCGTAGCTCGCGTGATCTATCATTGCACCTTGAACTTCGAGTAGAACGGGCGCTTTCTGAGGGTCGGGATTTGACCGGGTTTAGTATTGACCTGGTCAAGGCCTTCAACAATATCCCAAGAATCCCTATGAGACGATTACTCCTTCACCTATCTGTCCCACCAGCTGTTGTTGACATCTGGTTCGGCTTTCTGGCTGTCGTGTCTCGCAGCCCGACTTTCCACAATGACCTCGGCTGTGGAATCCTGAGCACGACAGGGTTTCCCGAGGGAGACCCCCTGAGCGTCGTAGGGATGCTGGCGATCTGCTATGCAGCCCACCATTGGCGTGGCCATCAGCCGGGCCAGCTGATGTCCTTTGTAGACAATTTTTCGTGGATAGTAGAGGCCCCGGAAGATTTTGAACGGGCTTTGACCGGTGCCCAATCTTTCTGTGACTCCTTACGGATGCCAATCGACTGGACAAAGTCGTATTGCTGGGCGCTTCGTGCCACCACGCGCAAGAGGTTGCAGCAGCAACTTCCGCATCTGCTTCCCGATGGCTGCAAGTTGCAAGTTGTGCAATCTGCCAAGGATTTAGGAGTTGTTTTTAGGTTGGGTCCTAAGGCCTGCCTGCAGGCTTCCACGAAACGACTGTCACAGGGACATGCGAGATTAAAGCGCCTGTCCAGCATGTGCCGGCCACTCCAGGTGAAATCCCATTTGATGTTGAGCTCGGTTTGGCCGGCTACGTTTTATGGTTTGGAGGGCCAGTGTCTCTCGAACAGTAAGCTAGATGCCCTGTGCACGGCGGCATCCAGGGCTATCATAGGTAATCGCCCCAGCGCTTCACCTTTCTTGACCCTAACCTGCCTCACTGTCCGTGTGCTTGACCCTGAGCCCTACGCGGTTAGTCAAGCGCTGTGCGCACTTGCTCGCCTTCTGCGGGTTGAACCAGGGATTGGACAGTGGTGGCTGAACCGTGCAGCTGTCCCCTTGGGGTGCACTGAAACGGTCAAGGGCCCTGCAGGTGCTCTTTCGAAGGCATTTGGCCGGATGGACATTGTGCTGCAGGCAGACGGATTGATGAAGGGACCTGGGCATTGGCACTGTAACCTGCATGTAGCCCCGCCGTTTGCTATACGGGCAGCTGTCGAGGGAGCCTGGCGGTACAACCTGCCTGCCAAGATTCAGCATAGGAATGGCCTTCGCAATGTGCTGGCACCGGCATCGGACATCACCTTTAAGGTTCTGGGACGTTTTCCACCGGGAGAACAGATCCACTTGGCACAGACTATTGCTGGAGGTTACATGTCGGCCGCGGCAAGGGCGGTCTGGGATTCTTTGCAGGACTCAGCCTGTGAGTTTTGCGGCAGTAAGGACACCAAGGCTCACCGCCTGCTAGAATGCCCGGCCCTGGCAGAGGTGCGACGCCCTTTTCAGGCATTGCTCGATTGGGTAGAGAAGGACATGCCGTCCTGGGTTCATAGCCCTTTCGCCATGGAGCATGAAAGCGAAGCCTTCCTGCGCCTCTTGTGGCGCTCGCGAAAACTACTGCCGCCGCCTTCAATAGGGAGCCTGATCGAAAGGTTTGCGCTACGCAAGCTCCACCTCTTCACCGATGAATCGTGTGCTCATAACAGTTGTCCGGCGGCCCGCCACGCAGCTTGGGCAGTTGTTTTAGATGTCAAACCAGATGAAGATATTGGCAGCCCTGCCAACTTACCAGACCTTGCCGAACTGCAAGCCCGTTTTCATACGGTTGCTCGGGGAGTCCTACCGGGGGTCCAAACGATAGGCCGTGCAGAGTTTAGTGCCCTGATGCAGGTGTGTCAACTTGCCGACAGACATACAGATTTGCCGGTAGTAGCGTGGTCGGACAGTCAGGCTGCTTTACGTCAGGTTCATAGGGTGCTTTCGGGTTTGGGGGTTGAGCGTTCCAGTCATGTTGCCGAGTTGTGGCAGGATAGTTCCGTGCAGACGTCTCTTGAAAACTTGAATGTGAACAAGGTCAAGGCCCATGTTGAAGCTTCCACGGTCCCTAGGGAGCAGTGGTATCAAACCATTGGAAATATCGCAGCTGATGCAGCAGCCAAAGCTGCTCTTGCAGCGGATCTTCCTTTGGCAGCAGAGAGTTGCGAGACAGTGCAAGCATGGCGCCATGAACAACAAGAGAGGCTGTATTTGTTTTACAGATATTTGCTTGAGCTCACGAAGAGAGTTGTTCCCTTGCGACGCCGTCTCGCTCAGACTGGGTCAGACCAGCAACCGGCTCACGACAAGGATGATCATTTGAGGCTGTGGCGGTCTATGCAGCCCTGCAACCCTCAGCCGCAAGAGTCTCGGGCTTTTCCGGCTGAAGTGTTGCAAGGGTCGACTTGGCCTACATGGTTCTTGCGTGTGGTTTGGGATTGGTGTTTCCACTTGTCTTGGGGCTCTCAGGAAGGGCTTGGTTTGCGTATGAGGGGCGTGACCTATTTGGAGCTGTTGGCGAATTTCGTCGTCTTTTCTGGTTGTTGTCCTCCTGTACTGGCAGACAAAAAGTGGTATGATCCTCTGGATAGTTCAGGCATTCTTTGTCCGGTCTACCTGCAAAATGCCACTAACAGTCTGGTTCAGGCAGTCAGACTCATGGAGAGACGAAGTCGCTGCAGATTATGGCTAGCCAAAGCACATCACCGTATTTGGACGCTTTCTTTTCTGCAGGACCAAACGGGACGTAAAGGCCTGGAGTGCAGACCGCAGTGGAGACATGACGCCGAAACTTTTCGGCTTACCCAGGAGCTGTGGGCGTCTGGACCAGAGGCCATGCGGGAAACGGCATGGGCTGTACGTAGAGACAGGACGTAGGATTTTGTTGCAAAGGCAACTCGGAGACCCAAAGAGGTGTGGACATGTGCGCGATGGACATGAGGAGAGGTGGCGTCGCTTCCGCTGGCCCACTCTTTCCTCCCTTCAAACCCGGGAAAGGTTTAGGGTTTGGGGGGTTCGGGGTTGAGTCGTAAGTAAGTAGCGTTCTAAAGCGTCCATGCTAAGTCCTTAAGCCCCAAGGCACCAAACAACTATCGGAGCCGTTTGGCACAAGAGCTCCAGTGGAAATGGGAAGCCTTGCTAAAATTGTTGCTGGGAAGTCTTACGCGAGGCTACAGTCTTCTGTAAATATCTAGACGTGGCAAGGCATGGTGCAATTACTCCTTTGCTCACCGCGTTTTTGTTGGCCCGGAGCTGCTTTCCCCTAAAGCTCCATGCGCCTATACTATATAGTAGATGCTTAGTCCTTACTTCAAAGGGGAAAAGGAGGGACCCTTAATGGGGACCCCTACCCTATAATGGGCTATAAAATGGGTATATCATAGCTATATTAAGGGTATATACCTAGGGGTCCTCATTAAGGGTCCCTCCTTTTTCCCTTGCATTTACAAACAATGCATCGCCGAAGTCCTAGCTGGACCCCCAAAGCATGTACAACGACAGCCTTTTATATGGGTGGTTGTCAAAGTTAGGGTCCCTTTTTGGGTCCCCATTATAATGCGGCACCTAAACCCTAAACCCCAAAAAGGGATCATAATTTTGACAACCACCCAAAGGTGTTGGGCAATCATTTCAACGCCCCTGCCCGAGGCCAAAACCAGACCCTGGGCCCCTCCCTCTGACCTCTACTTGACCTGAAGGATCATAGAATTAGGGTAACTATACATATGGGTGGTTGTCAAAATTAGGGTCCCTTTTTGGGGTACCCTAAATATTAGGTGCCGTATTATATTAACGATCCAAAAAGGGACCCTAGTTTTGACAACCACCCATATATAACCCCAAATGAGGTACTTATAACCTTATACTTACAAAGTCCCATGACCCTCCAAGTACACCCTTCTCCCCTGCAGCTCTGCCCACATCCTCCGGCGCAATCTTCTTGAACTCCTCGTGTCCGACCAGTGCACGGACCTTTGCCATCACGGCCCCCCAGAAGTCCGTCTCCTTGCAAGCCAGCTGAAGGGATACTAAGTGCTGAGGGCTGGAGAACGTCTGGGTTTCAGGGTTCAAGGGCTTCAGTTTGGGGTTTCAGGGCTTGCAGTGGACCTCGACAGTAAGAATCGCCGTATATCGGCGGGCCATTGCATGCTTTTCCTACTTTGAAGGGGTTTAGGTACGTTCATTCTTATATTCGACCTGCAGATTTACGCCTGAACTGCCCTGAAACCCTAAACTCCTGAGCCCCAAACACCCTCAAAGCCCTGAGCTATTCTTTAAACCTCCCTAAACCCTTATGGTACGTACCCTTAAACCCCTAAAAGGAACCCTTAAAAGGAACCCCTTAACGGAACCCTTAAAAGCGCGCCTTAAATGAACCCTGAACGCCCTGAGAGCCCGGAGCTCCTGCATGCCAATGTGAAACGCCGCCAGAGCTTTCAGGAACAGCGTTTCGGCACTCGCCTCGCGAACACGTAGGGTACAAGGGTATAAGGGTATTAGTAATATGGGTGTTAGGGGTTAGGGTTTAGGGGTTAGGGTTCAAGGGCTAGCCAAGAAATCCGTTTTAGGCTAATAACTAATCCCAAATAACCTAATTTGTTAAGGACGTATAAAATGCAAGCGTTTAACTGGAAGGCATCAAGGAATCCAAAGAAAAGGGTAGGTTGCTTCGGGTTCAGGCAGCGTTTCAGGTTTAGGGTCTGCAAGGAGGGCCAGGCATCAGGACTTCGGAATGAGGGTTTAGGAGGTTATACGGTTCAGGAAGTCGGAGTGAAAATCAGGGTCTAAGTTTTGGGAGGCTTCAATAACTGGCCAGTACGGCTCCGCCAGAAGGGTGACTTGAAGCAAGGGGGCAGCCTTTGGTTAATGTACTGTTAGTCGCAATCCTGCAATCGCAGCTCTAGGGTTCCTTGTATGACTTCCTGTAAAAGTCACTAAACAGGTAGGTTTCTTCGCATCCAGGTATACACTAAACGAAAACCAAGCCAAAAAGTCAAGAACCGAATCCCCACCTCGGAGCCCTCGGACGGAGGCATCTTGTTCAACAGCTCTTCCATGGTAAACTGACCGCCTGCTCCCAGAGACTCCAACATCCCTTAATTCAGGAATATATCTTTAATTATAGTAGGAGCCCGAGTATGTTTCATGAGTAATTCAGGAATAGTGGAGTCTTTGGGCTTTCTCGGCGTGGTTTCGCATGTGAGGCTCGGGAGTTTCAAGTTTGGGGAAAGTTGGGATGTCTCCTGGCTTGGGGTTTTGGGCTGCTTTGGGGATGTGCTGATCCGAAGTTCTGGGATTTAGTATTCGGCGCTTCAACTCTAGGGACGGTATGCTCAGAGATGACGGATATGCTCTCTGCCTCTGCAAAACAACCTAAAGCCCGAAAACCCTGACCCTAGCCCTGTCCTTGAACCCTTTCCAGGCTGCCCCTAAAAGCCCTAAACCCTACAGCCCTAAGCCCTGAGCCGTAAACCCTAAACCCTATAAACCCTAAACCCTCAGCCCTTACGTACCCTAAACCCTACAAACCCTAAACCCTCAGCCCCTGTCTTTGAATCCAAGGAACTTTCCAGGCTGCCCAGGAAACCCAAAACCCGCAACCCTGAACCCTGGACCTAAACCCTGAACTCCCTTAGATCTTAAATACCAACCCAAGAAACCCTAAACCTTAAACTCAGAACAACGATTACGGATCAGAGTTAAGGCTTTGGAATATTCAAGGCCTAGTCACAGTCTAGGACTGAAACCAAGGTACTTTCCAGGCTGCCCAAGAAAAGGTCATGCAAATCCTCCAAAGTCAGGACGTCGCCATCCTGCAAACCCACCTCCTGAGATTCGATCCAGTGAGCTTCTTGGGTTTAGCATTTTAGGGTTTGGGCCTTCGGGAATAGAGGTTTGGGGTTTAGGGTTTAGCGGTTTGGGGTTTAGGGTTGCAGTGCCTGGGGTCAGAGCCCCTGGTTTATGGTTAAGATACGATGACAAGATAGTAGAGTACGTGGAATCTGTCTAAGCCTTAAACCCCATTGCCGTAAACTGTAAACCCTCATCATGTCTCTAAACTTCAATCACCAAAACCTTAAGCCTCTGAAACCTAAGCCCCCGCAACCCAAAGCCACCCAAAGCCCTAACGCACAAAATCTGCATCTGCATCCCAAAGGCGTGACGAAGTTACTGCATTCCCCACAACGGCAACTGAAAGATTGGATGATGATGTTGCAGAGGGAAGTGCAGTTTTGGGTATCATAGTTGCTCAGTTCATAAACCGCTAAACGGTGTACCCGTTCGGCTACTAGAGTATACGAATATGCGGTATCGTACTTAAAGTTCTAGGCTGGGATTTGGCTTTACTGTTTAGGGGTCCTTATCGCCAGACTACTTCTACTTACGGTTTGTTGGAAGGTCCAGGTATTAAGCTGTAATGCAGGGTCTGCAAAGTTGGTACTGATACTAGTCCCTGCAGGTCCGTAAATGAGCTTTACTATGTAATACACGCCCAAACCCTGCTTCAAGTGACGTAAAGCAATGAGTAACTAGTAAGAATGTCCGCTTAGAACTCCCATATAGTTCGACCATCCGAAAACCCGTATTCTAAACTATTAGCACCCAACGAGCGGGTTGGAGATGAAGGGGGTTCGAGAGTTAAACTAGGGTTGCTACATGGGTTTTGGTAAAGGGTTGACGATACAGAGACAGGTACCATATCCGGCAGTGCTAGGCGTTCATGGCGTCTAGGAGGTTTTGTGTTTCCGAGTGCGGTTGGTAAAGCCAGGAATAGTCAGAAATAGCCAAACGCAGCTTCAGTGCCACATCTCATCTGACAGTATATCACAGGAACGGGAATGATCCCCGCACTGATGCCACACCATGCTGCCTACCCAGATTTTTGTTGGCCCCATAGAGCGAACAAGATGCGACGCCCTCCGTCTCCAGACGGATCTGACATTTCTTGCGGGAAGTTCTTAGAGGATGTAGGGTCTATAGACACCCAGACCCCCGGGAGGATCTAAAAAGTAGATCCCCCAATTTGGGGCCCTGTACTACTAAGGGTACTTTATAGGAACCCCCATTAAGGGATCTACTTTTTGGATCCTCCCGGGGGTCTGGGCATAGAGTTCCCGTTCTTCTGTGCCACGACTAGACCCTAAACCATAAACGATCTCATTGGCCCTGAGGCCTTTCAAACGGAAAGCCCCTCAAGCTAGCATCCCGACTTCCTAAAGTCTACTTGAACGATCCTGGGACTTAGTATCTAGGGTTATTATTAGGGTAACTATACTTATAACCCCAAGTAGACCCTAAACCCTATCCTTTTAAGGAACCTTACTAAGTCCCTGCTCAATCCCGGGGCCCGTCCAGGGAACCCCGAACTCTATCGGTAGGGCTACGGAAATCCAGCCCTAAATCATCTCAATATAGAACCCTCATAACAGGCGACTTTGGATTCTGCGGGCCCTAGACCCTGAACCAGAAAACACCAGCCCCTAAACCTAAAACTGTGGAGTACATCCCCCCAACCTCTAAACCCCAAAGCGTGTATCCTATGTCTGAACCCTACACCCTCAACGCTAGAGCATAAGCCCTAGCCACCAAACCCTAAACTCCAAACCCCGAACCCTGCAAAAGTGGCCGTGCGGCTGCGATGCCAGACGACTCTTCACTGGCAGCGAGGACTCGCGTGGGAAAGCCATAGCGGATGCGCCTTGGTGGTTATAGGCCCATAAGCAAGAGGGTCAATTTCTACGAACATTATGGAACTATAAAAAAGTCCCCACACTCTTTGATTCAACCAAGAAGGTCCACATGTACTACCTTTGTTGAATTAGATATACTTTTGAATGTGGTCCGACCCTTTTAGCCCGATCTCTTCTGCAGCCTCAGCCGCTGATGAATTGGTGGCACACCCGTGAGGCTGTGAACCTGCTCCTGAAAGTCGCAAACCTCGGACGTCTTTGGGTTCCTTTAAAAGGGGGGTTTAGGGGTTCCGTAGGGCTTACAGTAGAAGCCAGAAAGTTGGAATATCATTATCATAATCCCTCTAAAGTAAAATATAGGGGATCCTGCCATTATTCCATATTCCAACTTTCTGGAGTTCCCTTTAAGGTTTTTGGTTGGTTTAAGGAAGGGCTCCGGTGGAGATCAGTCGGGTTTAGGGGCAAAAGTTTAGGGCTTAGGGTTTAAGGGTTTAGGGTTTAGGGTTTCGGGTTTAGGGGTTTAGGGTGTAGGGCGTTTCGGTTGGTTTAAGGGCTTCTTTGAGGTTCTGCTACCCTTTGACACGTACTAGAGGGTTCTAGAATAAGGTCCAGGGTTCTATGATGGCGTCCGCTGGAAGGATCATATAAGGTAACCTAGAACAGGAACTAGAAAGGAGACTATCGGTAAGGGCATCTTACAGGTTGTATAGCAGGCGCTTGATGGCTTAAGTTTCTGTTGGCCCAGGGTTAAATTTCAATGCTGTAGGCTTTCCGCTTAGGCTTCTGGGGTTTGGAGTTTGAGGCTTCCGGGTTGAAAAAGCCTCAAATCCCGAGGGACTCTCTTGCTCCAAAGCGCACTCTGAAACCTCGATTGCCCAACCCCTATAAACCACAAGAGAACAGCCAATACCCCCACAAATAATAATAAACCCCAACCCGTAAATCCTATGCCCTAACCCTACACCAAAACCCCACAACATCGACGACCATGGGGTCTTATGCCCAGAGACCCGGAAATAAGGAACATATCCTAACATGATACGAAGGCTTCCAAGTGACGCTGGTCTGAGCCGGAACCTTTGCAGGTAAAGCGTGAACCCTGCGAAAGTTTGTGGTTTAGGGGTCAAGGGTCTGGGATTTTAGGGGTTACGGCTTAGGGTTTAGGGCAGTTGGGGTCAAGGGTCTGGGGTTTCTGTTCGGGTTCTATGGCGAGGGCTTGACACCACAATGGGGGTTGGAAAGGGGCCTTGACAGCTAAAAAAGACTTCTGGTGTAGAAGACGATGTAACTCCTTGGGGGCTGTGAGGGGTATTGTTTTGCTGCCATAGACTACGGTTTATGATGTCCCGTTGCAGCTTTGTGTCGATTTTGGGTTTCCGAAGTCTTTGGAATTGCAGCTTTTGGCTTCGTTGGAAGCCCGAACAACCCGTAATATTCCTCAGGTTTCTATAAGAACTCTTATATATCTATATATATATATATACATGTCCACACGCACACAGATATATATATATATATATATATTGACAAGTACATATATGTATATTTACACACATACATACATACATACATGCCTGCCTGCATGCATGCATACATACGTACGTATCGAATTGTGTTTATACAATCATGTACCGCCCTGAGAAGCGTCTGTTTTCTGTATGAAGCCTACCATGGGATTAAGGTTTCGTTTTTTAGAATGTATATAAGATTTATAGAGGGGTTCACGTTTGATTCAAGCTTGTTTGGTATTTAAGGGCTGCCGTGCTTTCGGGTCACCTACGGGGTGTAGGGATTTGAGGTGTTAGGAACTGCACCGTTAAGAACTGTAAGATTCGACTCTATAGGGGTTGAGATGTTTGGGGGCTCGAGGGCACCGGGGCTTGGGGGTTTCTAGGTCCTTTAAGACTTAGATCGGCATTCAGGATGAAAGCTGTAACCCTAAACCTGACCCCGAAACAAAAACCCGCGCCCTTAAATTAACTCAATATAGGCGCCAAACCCTATAGACCGTCCTCATACTCTAAACCCCTGAACCCCATGACAGCACCCAGTCAAACAGCCCTTGCAACAAATCTTGTCAAACCCGTATAAACAAACCCTCCTGAGAGCCCCGTAGATGCCTGAGCTGAGATAGAAAAATCACGCAACTCAAACTCCAAGCAACTCGCATTTCGCGGGATCCGCCCAAGGGGAGCCGCAGCCGGATTCGAAGATCTCGGCTTGCGCTGGGGCGCTCCTGGGCTTCACTGAAGGCGGGCTCGTGGTAACCCTAAGGCTCCATGTAGCCATATAGTACACACTTTGGCCCCAAAGTACCTATATAGGAGCCCCTTTAAGGCCTAAGTATATACTATATGGGTACATGGAGCCTTAGGGTAAAAGACCTGAAGCAGTTTCGGCTCTGGGTGTTTTAGGGTTTATGACCTTAGAGTTTTGACCTGGCGAATCGTGCTTTCAGGTGCCAAGAACAACTCAGAGCACATCCAAGTCTAGTGGTCTTGGTCCTACCATTGATGCATTGGGATGCTCTAGGTTAGGGACTTTGGGGTTATTCAGGGCTTGCTTGAGGTTCATCGTCTAGGGGTTTCAGGATTGACGGTTGTAGGCTTGGGTTTGTAGGGGCCTTAATAATTAAAATAGGGTTTGGGGCCCATTCTAATCTAACTATGACAATAAGGAACCCTCAAAATAATAAGGTTATTATTAATAAGGCCCTATATTAAAACTTAATTGCGGGTTGGGAGACAATGGGTCTTCAAGGGTCCAGCCACTAAAGCCCTAAATCCTAAACTCTAAATCACCCTAAACCCTGAACTATAGACCCCTACTTAAAGGATCATGGGACTTAGTATCTAGGGTCATAATTAGGGTATCTCCTTTGTAACTATAATCGTAGCCCCAATTAAGGTACTTATAACCTTACTTACTAAGTCCCATGATCCTCCAAGAAGCCCCTAAGCCAAAACGCAACAAGTTCGGGGTTTCGGGCTCAAGAGCAGGGCTCAGCTGACTTCACGTCGTCGGGGCTCGCCGGCGCCGGCGCCTGTCCGACCCTTTTTAAACCCGAATTACCTGGACATGAAAAGCTAAAACTCTACTTCTTTGAGGATTTATGTAAGGGTATCAGTGCTCATGCTTTGTGCTGAGGTTTAGAAGTTGGGAAGTATAGGGAGCAGGCTTCAGGGTGTAGGATTTGCAGATTCCAGGTTGGGGTTTCCGGGTCCAGGGTTTGATCAAGTCTTTCTCTGTCATGAAGCAGATTGTCTCATGTTCCATTGCTTTCTCCATGCCACTTCACAAGACCAAGAAGGGAAAACAAAGATAAAAGTACAGGCGTAATTATAGACAAGTATGCTGGACGTACTTTGTATACACATTCGCAATATCTGTAATCATCTGCCTGTAGGTATTGAAACTGATGTTTACGCTCGTGTGTAGTCGATGATGCAGTGATATCGAGCTTTCCTGCTTCCGCGCCCCATGCACCCACTGATGTCAAATGTTCTAGCGAACTTCCGGTTTCGGGCTTGGAGGACCAGTAGCAGTGCCGGTATCATGACTTCCAAACCGGGCAATTAATGGCTCTCTCATGGATTTTACAGGTTTGAGGGTGTAATTAACCACAACAGATGTATAAGGTCAGGCGTCGTAAAACATGGAATACGTAGCAGCAACCATTACGCGTGTAAATGCACCTGATACAGTTTAGCAAGCGAGTTGTGCTCACTGGGTTCGTTTGAGAGAGCAAAGGGCCCGGCAGCCCTAAGAACCGTACTGTGCGAAAGTTGGAACCCTGCTTGCATTCAGCAGCGATGTCTTCGTTTTCACTGGAACTTCAAGTGAATTGCGGTTTTTGGCATTACACAGGTCGGGGGAAGCCTAAAAGCCGAGGCCAACTGCCTGCACTCCTGTAGAGACTGTAGAGCAGTACTTGACCACAAATCATCTTCAACCACGCGGGTAAGCGCGTTCACGTCTGCGAGCGTGCCTGCGTCGATGGGTATCAGTATGTTAGACCAACTGACTAACCTCGTTCTGTAGGACAGTCTCCATTTCAAACCATCCTGCCCGGATCTTGACCTCGCACCTCTCCAGCAAGAAAATGCGGTATGCCTTCCGAACTCTGTCTGCTTTGAAATAAAGCGGAAATCCGAGCTCATTTCCAGGATTGTCGATGTCAATGTTTCTTCCTGTTGCATGATCCTTCACATGCAAGACCCAGTTGGGAGTCCATTGTTGCCCGTTCCAGCACTCAATACTCTTCACCCGGTCATCTATGCGAGGAATCATAACCGAAGCCAACAGGTTTTCCAGCTGGTCTGTGTATGTGGCCCTTACGGTGTCTACATCGACAACTCTTTTCAGGCTGCCCATGTGTTGCTGGGTATGGAGTGCCAGCAGGCGCATGAACACCACAGCATGAAGGACACGGCACATCTGGCTTTGCATTTTGCACCCATGCATTGAACTGCCCAGAAGAACCTTCAGTTGACCTCGTTGAGCTTCTCCTCCGCGATGTCTACTTTTTCCTTCCGGCCTTGGAGGCTGACGGTGTTAGGAACCTCTTGCAGCTTTACCACAGCAGCGTTGGCCTTACCTGTGAGACATGAAATCCTGAACTCGAGGCTTCGATTGTCTGGTGTATCTGGGAGGAGCTTTGGAAGGAGCTGTTCCAAAAGCCAAGCACCAGCTGCTAAGGCTACAACTTCCGGACTGTAGTCCACCTGCTGACATATCTGACGTAGTGTCGTGAGCACATTCTTCGCAAGACTGGCCATCTCTGCCGGCACTCCTGCCGAAGGTTCATCGTTTGATTTTTTTCGAATACTCTGCATCACCAATGCGAAGTCACGTGGAAAAGTGTAGCATGCCTCCACATCGTCCCAAAAGCCACCACCTTTGTCCAACTCGGAAAACAGTGGTCTGCATCTGTCTGCAAGCCCGTCGTCTGAGATAACTCCTACTGGCTGCCCCTGCCCCATGATTCTGAGCCGAGAGCCCTTTCACTGCAGCACATACAGTCATGCGGTGAAGTTCCAATGATGGTACCAGCACAATTGTCACACCTGTCCGAGAGCCGACATGTTAAGCAATCCCAAGCAACTGACACACCACCCTGCGTTTTTTTTAGCCACCTTGGCTAATCATCCTGGAGAACGCGACCGCGTGGCCATCACAGCTTCAGGGTACTGCATGGGAGTGAGCTCACCCATATACAATGGGCATGGGCAAAGACTGGATTAGGTGAGTGCTTGTGTTGGGAGGATAGTGTAATTTCCGGTGGAGTTGTAGGGTGAAGTATTACAATAATCAGGATGTGGTGGCCGTAGGCAGGTTGTTGAGGCCTACATGGGCAAGGGTTCTGCTAGCTGAATGACCGCTTAAAGGAACCCTAAACCCTGAACCCTTAACACCCTGAACCCTAAACGCACCAAGCCCTACACCCTCCGGCAAAGTCTCTCATGGCCTCCGACGGCTTGATCTCAGGACTCGCCGCAGCCGGCGCCTGGGTTGGATAAGGGCTCCCTTGGGGTTTTGGGTGCAGGGTTGGGTTCTGCAACGGTTACCACCAAAGTCCCGATGGAAGTGGTTCGGTAAGGGATGCTGTAAGATTTCCAGAATAGGGGGTTTAGGGCTTGGAGGCATTAAGCAATTCATAGAGGCCTAATCCTTCACCAGGCCCTAAACCCTTATCCTGAACCCTAACTCTAAACCCCTGACAACTCTTCAGAAGTATTCAGCGCATGGCAAGAGGTCGGTCGGTGGTTTCCCTGACTCCCTAGATGGAGATTAGGGGACTTAGATTCGTGGAGGGCTTGGAATAATTGCTCATAATACTCGCTTATCACCCCTACATGATGTATACATCCAAAACACTATACCCTAAACCTATTCCATTGATTAAGGCCCTTAAATTACCACCTGCAAGGAACCCTTTAACGAACCCTGCAAGGGAGCCCTTTGAAGGAACGACCCCAAACCGGGCCTTGCCACGCAGCACGGCTTGATACTCAGCCTCTGCCTGGATCTCGCGCATGACGTTCTCGTCAAAGGCGCGCTTCTTCGTTGGGATTGCCTCCACGTGGTGGAGCTTCTAGTGTTGAAAGCTCGAGTTCATAGGGTTTTCCGGTCTAGAGCTTTCCCGTCGACAGCGTGCGTCTTCGTGAGGAGAGGATCACCTATAATGATTTTCCACACGGTAGGCTACTGGGTTGTGGGTACTGTCATTTATGGGCGAAGGTTAAGGATTTCGACACGAGTAGGATCGCCTCCTGTGGGGGGTTTAGGGGGAACTAAGGTTTGACAAAGCTCTGCCCTATAACATCCTGAAGCACACACTGTATATACCTTCACGTACGTAAGTAAAATGAACCATCGTATATACTCATATGTGCATACGTGTGTGTGTGTGTGTACTTTACACATGCATGTAGGCATGTCTGTGTGTATATATGTCGGCTATATAGTTGTATACATTTACACATGTACACAGCTTCAGGACTTGAGGGTTCAGGGATTGAGAGACCAGGGTTTAGGGCTGCAGACAATGAAGGCTTCAAGGACTCGTCTTTCAGGATTGCCAAGGCGACCCAAGTTAGGGGGCTAGAGTTCCGGATTTTGGGGACAGAAGGGCGTCGAGTTTTGGGATCTAGGGCTAATAAAAGCTTAGAAGTTAGGGGCTTGCGGGCTCACTCCTTCAGAACATCATGGGTCGGCTCGTCGCGGCTGCGCATGGCCTCCGGTTCGCTGCTTCCTTCCGATGTCCCTTAGTTCAGGAATCGACCTTATTTAGTGTACTATCCCAAGTATGATATATATATATATATATATATATATATTCCTTCATTAAGGGATATTGGAAGGTCTGGGAAGCTGCTGCGGCTGGACATGTTCGGTTTGCAGCTCGCAGTGCTTGCATTCCTGTCCATGCGCTGCCCCGGTAAGGCTCTGTTGCCTGGCGAGCTCCGTCACGATCACCAGCTCCCCGCAGGAGCTTAAGCATATTAGGGGTTAGTAATTAGGGGCTTGGGCCCCAGCAAGCGCCTCAACGTGGCATCTAGATAGGGCTTCTGGGCTATATTGAGCCTCAAGGTTGGCGATAAGCATGCCGGGTTTTCCCTAAATTTGAACACCTTAAAATTAGGCTTAAACCCTGCACCGCAGTTTGAGGCATGACGCTGGAGGCTTAGAAGAACGTGGAGTCTCCTGGGTTCTTGTTAAGGAACTTAATTTAAGTTACCATAATAAGGAAACCCTATTATTTACAATAGATCCCTATTATGGTAACTTAAATTAAGTTCCTTAACAAGAACCCAGTCTCGGGCCAGTCGGGCTGACTTGGATGTTGGGCTGAAGGGCCTGGGGCTTAAGACTTAACAGCTGAAAAAACCTGCCTGCCACTTTTAGGGTTCCAAGTTCCTTATTATGCCTTCCATATATATATATATATATATAGATAGATAGATATAGTTCCTCACAAAAAGGAGGTCTTTTGGGCCACAGGTAGGGTCAGTTGAAGTTTAGGCTTCAAGAGTTCAGAGTTTCGGGCGTAGGGTTTGAGAAACCCTAAGCCCTAAGGGTTCAACGGTTTAGGGTTTAGGGTTTAGGGTTTAGGGTTTAGGGTTTAGGTTGATCTCTTCTGGAAGTTGCCTGTCGAACACGGCTCCAGGATCGTGCCGTTCTCAAGCATCTCATGGCTCTTATTCTACTCCCTAAGACCAACAGCCTATATGCACCCTTGCACCACACTCAATCATTTCATGGTGCTTAATCCCCTAACCTTCCAGGGACCTTATTATTGGGTCCTTCAGGGGTCTAGGGCCCTTATTATAAGGTCCTTGGAAGCATAGGGTAACATTATTTAGAAAATTCTTCTGAACACCGAAAGTCAGGCCTTCGCAGGACTCGAGTAGGAGCTCGATGTCGCTGCAGCCATCGACTGGACCTTCGCCTCCTGCATGGAGAGCCCACACTCTTCAAGAAAGTTTCATGGGGTTCCGGGTTTGCGTCGAAGGCTAAGTTTGAAGCCTGCTAAGGAAGGGTGCAGGCCTGGTGCAGGGGCCTGGGATGCACGAACCTGAGTAATGAAAGGTGAAGATTCCTCAAACAAAGATCTCTCGCTAACGAAACTTACCTCTAAGCTCTATATCATGGGTTGCTAAGGTGTCGGGATTAGGTTTAGGATTTAAGGTTTAGTACAAGTGAGGCAGTTGTCACTGTACAGATTTTTTAAAAAATGTCCTCCCCTGCCAGGCTCTGGGTTTGTTTATCAAGTAATCCGGAGCCTAAACATGAGCTTGCAGCGCGCTGTGTAATATGATTAGGACTTTTGTAATACGTTCTTCATGCTCGGAAAACCATAGCCCTAGGACCGAACCGACCTAAACCCTACAAGCCCTAAACACTCAAAACCTCAACCCTAGGACCTAAACATAGCTCAGCTGAACGGCAGATCCGTTTAAGCCCCCTAACACCATCTAGGACCCTTCAACGAACTCCGTGCAGAACCTTAGAATTCTGGATTTGGGATGTAGGGTTCGCGTTCCTAAACCCTGAACCCTAAACCTTAACCTTGCTTGGAGGATCATGAGACTTAGTAAGTAAGGTTATAAGTACCTTAACTGGTGCCAAAACTAGTTATAAGTACAGTTACCCTATTTTTAACCCTAGCTACTAAGTCAGATGATCCTTTAAGTGGGGGTTTAAGGTAACCAGCCGTTGGCCTGCTGCTGCAGAGCTTGGCGCACGACAGCCAGCTTGTCCAAATCCAATGTCTGCAGGTTGAAGCTTTCCTGTTAGGGTTTTCAATTTTTTGAGGGCCTTTTTGAGGGTTTTCAAGTTTAGGGTTTACGGTTTAGGGTGGGGGTTGGGGTGTAGGAGTTTGGCTTTGAAGCTTTCCGCCCTTTCCTTAGGCGCAGATTTGCAGGCACAGGGAATCAGACACAACTGACCTTCTCCTTTGCATGTGAGCTTAGGACTCTCAGAAGCTGGAGCTCTCAGCATGGCAAACCAGGCGTGTAGGGTATGGGAATAACTTCAAGCGATCATCCCTAAACCCTAAACCGTAAACCCTAGACCCTAAAATTTTAGGGTCTTGGATTCGGTATGTCAACAGAGGCCTCGATTTTTGAATGGTTGCGCAGCCCTGTCCTAGACCACATTGTGCAGACAAAACACCCAGCCCTAAAACCCTCAACTGCAAACCGTGCAACTTGAAACATTAAGCCCCAACACATAGCTGAACGATCGGTGCGTCTGCTAGTTATCCCCTGCAGCCTCCGGGTTCCCCTCTAAACCCCTAAACCTTAAACCGCTAAGCTGAAACCCTAAATCCTAAACTCCCAAACTGGAGTCGAAAACCAAGGTGCCTCATCTTCCACGAAGCCCGCGAGGGAGAGGACCTCGGAAGCTCCCGGCACCTGCAAGAGGCCTTTACTTAGAGGATCATGGAACTTAGTAACTATAGGGTTCCTTAAAGGGCTCCTTAAACGGGATCTATAAGAGGGGTTCTAGGGATACTTAAAGGATCATGGGACTTAGTAACTAGGGCCATAACTAGGGTAACTATACTTATAACACCAATTAAGGTACTTATAACACTTACTAAGTCCCAGGATCCTCCAAGTAGGGTCTTAGGCTTTAGGGTTTAGCAGGATCCCCCAAGAGCCCTTTAATGGAGCCCTTAAAAGTCATAGGTAGGGTTTAAGGTGTGGGATTGCGGGGTTAAGGCCTTTAGGGTTTTGGGTTTTACTTAGGGTTTAAGGCGTAGGATTCTGGGTTAAGGCCTCTAGGGCTGGAGGTTTTAGGGATTTAAAGATTCAGGGTTTATATTTGAAGCTTTAGGGTTTTAGGGTTTGTAAGTTTAGGGTTTGGGCTTCAGGGTTTAGGCTTTAAATGGGTTTAGGCTTTAGGTTTAGGCGTTTGGGCTCGGGGTTTAGGTTTAGGCTTTTTTCTGCGGCTATTACTGCCGCAGGGTGCGCTTTCCCCAGCACGACCACGTACAAAGCGTAAAGACACGTGCAAGTTGCGTTGTTTTCTTTTGGGGGGGATACACTTGAAGCCAACAAACCCGCCCCACGCCCAAGCCCTTCAAGGAACAACGGAGGCAATCAAGTTTCCGGATACCCTGCCACCGGCTTCCGCAAACGATAACACGAGGAAACACAACATTCAACAACAAATCCTGCATCCGAAGCATGAAACCCCAAATCCCACACCCACAAATCACAACACAAACCAATCGGAGCGAACTGGACGGCTGCCTGCACCACGGCGGCATTGATGCGTGCATTGGCCTTGCGAATGGGACCTCTGTACCTGGGTTGGGTTCGGGGCTTAAGGATGAGAGCTCGGGGTTTAGGGTTTATAGGACCGGGGGGGTTTGAGAAGTGAGCAGTGAGAAATCTAGAGTTTAGGGTTTTGGGGCCGTTTTCGAAAATTCGCTGCTATCAGTACCCAGTGCCCGAGAAGGCTGCAGAAGCACAAGAAGCCTTCCTCTGGGGCAGACCCGAGCAAGGAATTGCAGTGCTGTGTTTAGACAAAACTAGGATCCTATAGTATGAGCACAGAATAAAAACCAACTTCAAAAAGGCACAATCCAGGGTCGACCTGGATTCCCATCCTCATGTTGGTGTTTGAGGTCCGTTTTCTGGAAGCCTGACTAAATACGCAATGCTATTCCTTAAGGTTCCTTCTTGTAATTACAGCATAGCCTAGCCCCAAACAGCATAGCCTAGCCCCAGACCTTAAACCTGATCTTTAAGGCCGCTACACTAGTGCTTCACCCGCCTATGCTCAATCGACACCGTCAAAGTGACTATTTGGGTCACGCGCTTTGTGTCACGCGTTTTCTTCTGATTTACTTGGAGCTTCATGGGTAGTTGTAAGTCACGTTACAAGTCCCATAATGTGGGTTCTAAAACCCTAATTACGCTTCCAAGGACCTTATAGTTAGGGCCCTAGACCCCTCAAGGACCCAATAATAAGGTCCCTGGAAGCCTAGGGAAACCCATTTGCGACTGCCCATGAACCTCCAAGTAGGGCCGGTCTAGGGATTTGAGTGCTTCATCGCTTGCGCCTCGAGCTTAGGCGCCACTCATGGGTCCTTATTTTAGGCTGGGGGTGGCGTCTGTGTAGGAGTAGAAGGAGCTGGGGTTGTCGCCGCTATATCATTAATTAAACTCAGCTGCTGCACTTTCCGCCGTGCCTTGTCTGGCCCGTACAGCCTTGATAGATGAGTGCTTATAGAGCGATGGTGGCTGCATAATTGGGCCCTGCAAAGCCTTAATGAAATTTCCAACCCGTCCATCCTAGAACCATTGCTCTTATAATAACCCTTAAGACACCTTCTGTTAACCAACACCTATCATGGCTCTGTTTTTAACCCGCAAAAAGACCCTTTTAGAAGCCCTTTAAATGGGTGCCCAGAACCCTAAACCCTCAACCCCCAAACCCTAAACCCCAAGCCCTAAACCGTCCGAGCATCTTCAGCTCACAAGGGTGATCGGCCACATTCCCGACAAGCATCAACAGGGCAGTGAGGGAGTTTTGGCCTGCGACGGGGCTTTGGGTTTTGGGGTTTGGGGGGTTTAGAGTTTTGGGGTGTAGGGGTTTAAGGTTTAAGGTTATGCTGCAGAGCTTACGGTTATTGTGCAGGACATATAACAAAGAGTGTGAGATGGTCAGTACATGGGTCTGTTGGCTTCAGGGTTCAGTGTACGGTCTGAAGCGGTCTGCTTTTCGTTGCGTATACACGGTGCAGGCATGTGATACACAAATAACACCCCTACCTGCAGGTTTTCCATTCTCCCCCGGACGCAGAAGCACCGCTCATTCTCAACGGGGTTCAAGTGCGCAGAAACCCTAAACACTAAACCCTGAACCCAACACTGCTAACGGCTAAACCTAGAGGCTAAGAGCCCAAACCTGGGGGCAGTTGATAACCAATGTAGGTGATCAATGGGGCATGTATGTGCGTCTGTACATATATATTATGTATATATATATATATATATATATATATATATATATATATATATATATGTATGTATGTAACGTAACGTAACGTAACGTAACGTAACGTAATGTAATGTAATGTAATGTCTTTATGTATGTATGTATCTATGTATGTATCTATCTATGTATGTATGTATATATGTATATAGTAATATACACATAGGTGTATACATATATACATATATACATACAGAGTGTAATTGAAAGTAATATGAAGGCAGTCTACCTGCAGGTCACTGTTCTTCGTAGACCCCATAAAGACCTATAGAATATAGGTAGTTCGGTAAAGTAGGGTTCCTTGATGTTCTTTTTACGGTACTTTCTATAAGGGTGCCGTAATATAGTGGGGACCTAAAAAGTGACCCTGACTTAGAGAACCACCCATATGCACTTTGTACCAAGCAACTCCAGATCTGCGACACCAGCTGCTCGCAGTCACCTCGGATTGGGCTTAGGGCGTGGGGGTTGGCGTTGAGGGTTTAGGTCTCAGGGATTTCTTAAGGTTCCCAAAGCCCTATTCCAAATACCACGTCCCCCTTGATCTTGCAATTTTTGGAGAGCCCGTCTCTGCAGCCAGGGTGCGCTTTAGCGAGTCTGTGGCAGCAGTGGCAGCGCTGCGTTTCGCTGGCAGTTCCTGTCGTCTCGGGTAGCTTGAGGACATCTACGCTGTAATAAACGGTCTAACAAGATTATATATCGATAACTTATTGAGAACCTATTTTTTCTCACACGCACATGCGAACAAAAACAGTTATCAATTCACGTCACTTGTTTGTTTGAGGTTACCGGGGCTGCTACTTTAAATCAGATGCCCTCCGCTGCCATTTGGGGGTTTCCGACAATAGGGGTACCCCAATATGGTACCCTAAATAGTAGGATTCGTATTATAAGGACCCCAAAAGAAGGTACCCCAATTTTCGGAAACTCCCATATAGTGATGAAGCCATTTCATTGCCACGAGGGCTTCTGGCAAATGGCTCGACGGCTTTGGCTTTTCATACTGTTGTGACTAGTGTCCTTCGCAATGTCTGCATGCACGCATTCTCATTGCTCAACTGCGACCAGCTTAGACCCTCAAGTCTGAACCTAAATCGGATCTTGTCAAAAAGCGGTGGCACCTCCAGAGCCCTGCCCGATGACCTCAACAGCCCTAAAGCCCTACCAGGAGATCAGGGTGGCAGGACATTGGGTCTTGGGTTGTACTGATTAAACGACTCGTACATAGAGCTGTCATCTTCATCTGCTGGCGCGTAGAGCCACTTTTTCCTGTAGACCCTGCGCCCTAAACCCTAATTGGACCCGACTCGACATCCGAAACATCCGAGCTTTTTGTGGTTCATATTTAGAATCCTATTTGGTAATCCCAAAACGAACTACTGTGGAGCCTATGGGTATGCTGATGTTGCTTCAGGCCCAAGGCACCCAGCCGCAGGCAGCACAGACGCTGGTGTCGGAAGGATTGATCAGCCTTGAGTTGCAAAGATCCTCTCTCTCTCTCTCTCTCTCTCTCTCTCTCTCTCTCTCTCTCTCTCTCGGTGTATGTGTGCATGAATATACACACATTGACACACATAATTATAAACAGTTTTTGTTGATTCATCTTTATATACACATATGCAGAACAACTACAACAACAAAGACAACAACGACGGCCACGACCACCCCCATTTGCTACCACTGATAGTACCCCCACCTGCTACTACTACTACTACTACTACTACTACTACTACTACTACTACTACTACGACCACTGCTGCTACCTGCACAAATGCTGACAAAGGAAGATGTCATGGAAACAGTCATGTGGCGCCAGTACTGGTAATTACCAGCACTACTACTAGCAGTATCTACTCATGGCGGCGGCAGTGGTTGTGTGTATGTATGTATGTATATTATACATATATATATATATATGTATGTATATATTTGCGTATTATATTTATACATCCCCCCCTCGCGCCGATGTACCCATGCCTTTCTTCTAGATCACAACTTGGGGAGGGCGTGACTTCTTGCGATACCCTTGTACCCACACCTTTGTCCTAAATCTCAGCTTCAGGACGGCGCGGGGTATTGGAATCTGAAAAATGTCTCAGCCCTGAACCATAAACCTTGTACTATCATTCTCGGAACCAAATAAAATGATAAAATGACATCTCCCGTAGAACAACTCTATGAGATCACGCTCAAAATGGAAGGAAACATGGCCCCTAACGTCAAACGGCACAAACCGAAGTTGTTGCCCAGCAGCGTGCATTGATCGCAGCTCCATCCTTCGTCCATGGGCGCGGCAAGCCCTGCGCCCTCAAGCACGAAGGAGTAGCAGTCTGCGGGATATCAATATTTCGATCCCTGGTTAGTGACGGTTCGGGGTTTAAGACGGAGAGCTGAGCTAGTGAGCCCCTCTGTCGAAGCGGCCCTGACTACAAGTGTGTTCGTTTTGAGTACGATTCAAAGAATGTGGCCTTGTAACTTAAAACTGAGCATGATTCTTGTCTGTGCATCAAGCAAAACCAAGCTTTCGCCTATTCTGCTCTGAAGGCTTGGTGATGTGGACCGTTTGCCGTGAGCCGTGGTACTTGTGCAGCGATTACCTAAATATTGCTTTGGATCCCGTTTGTATGTCTTTTCATATGTATGCACAAACACATATGCACAAGTTCCAACAAAAGACAGCAGACTCCTGGGTCTCTGGTTAGGCCGTAAGTTGATATTGCAGATGGACAAAAGGCGGAATTATCTTGAGACTTCTGCACCATGGTACTGACAACCATGAGTAATATGCGTGCCTTAATAATTAGAATTGGGTATTATCGCAGAATATGCCGTAAAATTGGGAAGGAACCCCCAAAATAGTATCTTAGTACTACTTAGGCGCCGAAAATATGTGCCATATGGCCCAAGCCTCATGGCCCTGAGCAGAAGTGGCTGAAGTCATGTGGGTGGTTGTCAAAATTGTGGTCCCTATTTGGGTACCCTAAATAGTAGGTGCCGTATTATATTAGGGACCCAAAAAGGGACCATATTTTTAGGGACCCAAAACGGAACCATAATTTTAGAGACCCAAAAAGGGACCATAATGTTGACAACCACCCATGTAAATGCAGGGACCTGGACCACTAGACCGGGGGCTTGGGATTTAGGGGTTTAGGGTTTAGGGGTTTAGGGTTGGTTAATGATAGTAGTATATAAAGGCACGGTAGAGAATGGGTAGGGTTGTATAGGGGCTAGCACAAAAAATACTGCGACTGGCATATTCAGTCCTCCGCGGTAGCTTTTTTAGCAGGCCGGGGTCCTAAAACCTGAACCTTAAAGCCAGAACGCTACTCTCTAAACCTTAACCCTAGACTTTCCTAAAATAAACCCAAAAGCTTCTCCAAGGTGGTGAGTGGGGAGGTCGCTCATGAGACTCTCCAGCACCCTTGACTCCCAGCTCTCCCGCCTTTTGGTGCGAGTTTGGCTCGGGGAATTACGGCTTATGGGGGGGCTCCCTTAACACCCCAGACCTACCTGTTTAAGGGCACGTATCAGGGATCTATAGCAAGGAGACCTGAGAAGGGAGGGTTTTTGGGCTTAGGGTGAGGGCGACCTATCCTCTCTTCAGGGTTTGAGTTTGAAGGGCTGTCCCAGTCCTGTCGTGTTAGTGTTGCCGTCTACTTCAAATCTCATCCTCCAGATGAAATACTGAGGACACGGCAAATCGCTTAAATAGCTACTCAGAAATCCTTTGAGCTGAGCATTACAGTAGCTGCACGAACCAGAAGCAGTTCTATTTGAGGTAATGCACCGCCCCCCCCCCCCCGATGGAGTTCGGTCTGTCAGTTGTCGATGTATCCACCGCTAGACCCTAATTCCATGTCAAACTGCGTAAGACTCTGATATCACGTGCTGGCATCACATAATAGCCTATCTGCGTGATGGCAACTTTTAAAGTAAGCTCCTAAACAGCATCCCACACCAAACCATAGTAATAGTAGAGCCCCACCAAAGAGAACTCGGCAAACCCATATCAGGCCCTCATAAGGCCCCATAATGAAACTCCCAGGCCCTAAACCCTAAATAAACCCTACAAGCTCTAAGCCCTAAATCCCAAGCTCTAAAGCTCTAAGCCATAAACCGTTCGCTCTAAGCCCTCAACCCTAGTTAAACCCTAAGCGCTAAGCCCCCTCAACCAGACCCCAAAATCCCGAGCAGGGAGCTGACCAGCATCAAAGCAGCCGGTAGTGTGACGATAGCACCCACGATGGACAGGATGGTCACGGCTACGACCACCGCACCCAACTGAGGCAGGAGGAGCTTAAGCCTTGGGTTCACTAGGGGGATTTAGGGGTTTCAGGGGTTCAGCGTGTAGGGCTTTAATATAGCTGACCTTACGTAATAATTAGAATAGGGTTTTGTTAACAAGGAAACCACAAAATAGTATAGGTAATTCTTTAGGCCCCTATAGTAGGGCGTTTTCGGCCCTTCGGTCTTGCCCTTGGTGTCTGCGACAGTTCGCTCTTCCTTGCTTAAAGGATCATGGGACTTCGTAACTATAGGGTTCCTTAAAGGGCTCATTAAAAGGGATCTATAAGGGCTCTAGAAGAGGGAATTTAGGGTGACTTAAAGGATCATGGGACTTAGACACTAGGGTTATAATTAGGGTAGCTAATACTTATAATTCCAATTAAGGTACTTATAACCTTACTTACTAAGTCCCATGATCCTCCAAGCGGTATCACGAAGAGTTTGATTTTCGAAAGTTGGCTTCACTGTGGCTTTATCTAAGATTCCTCCGAACTTCCAGAGAGTGGGGTCTCTAGAGTAGGTGTCGATTGAAACAGCCCCTTCTTCGCAAAGGCCGATGTTTAGCTATCGGTGCCTAGTGAATCATTCACTTGTGGCGTCCGATTTGGGTTCCATCTGTGGCTTCTCCTTGGGTGTCCGGCCTTTTTTCCGCACTGCAGAGCTCATGCCCTAAACGCCAAATCTCGCAAGACGTACAGGGCAGGGTTAAGGGCTCAGGACAAAGCCGTCACCCAACACAGTCACGAAAACCTAACCACACCCTAACCTAAAGCCTACGCAGCCTAAACCCGAACCCCTTCACCCAAAAATCGAAGCAGCCCCTCAATCCCCTGCGGATGCCTTCGTCTAAGCTCCACACCCGAAAACTTGACTTGTAAGCTGGAAAGCTCGAGGTTTGAACTTCTGAAGTCTTGCAAATCTTAGTCTTAGGGTTTAGGGTTTAGGGTTTGAGGTTTAGGGAAACCCTGAATCCTTACTGCAACAGCTCTAAATCCAAAACCCGGTGTTCGTACTGTTTCCAGGCTGTGGTCTTCTGTTTGCCTCTATGGGACTGACCTGGGTTTAGGGTTTAGAGGTTTAGGTTCAGGGGTCTGGTTTTATGTTTCCCTCTATGGGACTACCCTTATCCATAAAGGTTTGAACCCCAAAGCTCAAACCCCAAAAGCCCTAAACCCAAACCCCAAACCCTAACCCCAAAACCCTAAACCCTACACCGCCTTCGCGACGATGGTCTTGGGGTATGTTATACTAGAAAACTATGATAAGGAACCCCTCCAACGTAGTGTTGTTAAGTATTTAAACCCCTCTAAACGCTAGCAGTAATGGCCTTCACGAAAATGGTCAGGGTGCAGAAGAGCAAGAAGGCACTGCTTCCGGCGGTGGACCTTCGGCGGTGACGGCGAGGGTTTCGGCACAGGGTTGTCTGGGGTTTAGGGTTTACGGGGCTTTGGGGGCTAGGGTTTGGGCTGGGGCAGAAAACGCTCAGAAAGGACCTCGCTTAATCAAAACATTCAGGATCCAAGTACTGAACAACTCCATGCCCCCAAAATTACTGACTTGCATCCTAAACATTCCTCAGCCCAAGTACCTATTCATTGGGTCGGTTGGACCATTAGCGAGTTGCATGTGTACCTAAAAAAGACAGGCAATGCACAGCAGAAACCATCAAGTCAGCGCGCAAAGGAAAGATTAGCCGTGTTCCTTTGCCATGCTGGGCGTGTAGGGTGTAGCATCCTGTGTAGAGGTTCTTCCATTCGTATTTGGGAGTTTTCCAAAATAGCGGACCCTAATATGGTACCCTAAATAGTAGGATCATTTTTAGAAGGACCCCAAAATAAAGTACACCGAATTTTCGGAAACTGCGATTTGATTTCCGTGTGAGGCTTTGGCTTTGGCTAGCCGCGCCCCGCTGTCCGAGCTTATAGGATGAAGAGCTTCAGGGTTTAGGGGTTTAGGGTTTAGGGTTTAGAATATGCACCATCGCAAATGCGTCACCCGAATATAGGGGCCTTAATAATAAGAATAGGGTTTTGGGACCCATGATACTATAAGTATAATAAGGAACCCCAAGACAGTATTAATTAGTGGTTTGTGATTATTAAAGCCCCTACATTACATGAATAATCGTCAGTCTTCGGTGCAGGTAAGGCGAGTCCGGTGCATGTTAGATCTCAGCACCATGCATCAACTTCAGCATCGTCAATGTCCCGGCATGCAGTGGCCTTGCTGTCATCAAGCTTCAGCAACTTCCTCCTCCTCTTCAACACCAGCACCATCACATATCCCCGTGGTATTCTGTACCGTCATCATCATCGTCATCGTCATCATCCACCGAGGGCCCTGCAAAGCAGAGCTCAGCGTGGCGCCACCAACATGCAGCACGGCGACCCGGGTGCGAGCCTGTGCCCCCAAATAGTTCGGGTTCCAGGGATTGTTTAGGGAACGATTCCTACTTACATACATACCTACGTGCCTGCATGCACGCCTACGTACTCACATACAGACACATGCATTCTTGCACTGACTGACGGCGGCCGTGACACTGACACCGGCGGCGTTTCAAAAAAGGTGCGAAGCCCTAAGCCCTAAATCCCCGAAACCCTGATTAATTCAAAAACCCTAAAACCCTCAACCCCGTCGTCCTGGCCCCTTGGGAACCAGCCTTTCTGAGCTGCAGTCCGTGGAGGTCTTCTGGAAGAACCTGGTCGCGGTTTGTGGCTTAAGGGGTTTTGGGCTTTCAGGCTTTAATGGCTTTGGTGCATTAAGGTTTAGGGGTCTAGGGGTTAGGGTTTTAGGGTTTGGAGTAAGGGGTTCGAGGGCTAGTTTTTCTTTGGACTCCTGTTTTGCCTGAGTCTAGGGTTTAGGGCGTAGGGCTTCAGGGTTTTACGGTTTAGGCTTAGGGTTCACGGTGTTGGGATTCAGGGCCTAGGGTTGAAGGGCTTGACTGTAAGGTAGAGACCTTCTAGAGTTAGTCAAGTCCCTCCCTCGCCATTGCA